GACACTGAGGGTTGCGATCCGTTGCCGGACACGAAAAAAGACAAAAAAAAAAATAAAGTCACACCACAGGCAGCAGAGCCAGGATTCAGTCCAGGAGTGTGTGGTTCCACAGCCTCTGCGCAGCTTCAGTCTGCCTGGGAGGTTAGGGAGGGCTTCTCGTAGAAGGAGACTGAGAGCCTTATGTGCTCTCCCATCATTGCCTTCCTGAGGATTTTCTGGATTGTTTTGCCCTTGTTCTCTCTGACTTCTCTTCTGCCTCAACTCCTGCTAGTCCTTCTGCAACCTCACACCCTACATTCTAGGCACACTCTTTTCCCCAGCATTTCATTGTCTTCTTGCTTGCCTTGTTTATGGCCATCGTTGCCTTGGGTCACCTATAAAGGTGGCTTTTTAAAAGATTTCTTTTTCTTTCTCTCTCCCTCTGTCTCTCCCTCTGTCTCTCTTTCCTCTCCCTGTCCCTCTCCCTCTCTCTCCCTCTCTCTCTCTCTCTCTCCCCCCCTCTCCCTCTCTCTCTCTCTCTCCCTCCCCCCCCCTCCCTCTCTCTCTCTTTCTCTCTCTCTCTCTCTCTCTCTCCCTCCCTCCCTCTCTCTCCTCATGTACTTTGCTATTTTCTAGCTGTTTGTAGCCAGAGGGCAAGTTTTGTGCCATTTGGCTGGAGGGGGCAGTCGCTCTTTTATGAGTGTTTTTCAGACCTGCCCTCACACATGTTCACTGTGCCAGGAATGTGCTCTTATCATTTCATCTGTGGACTCCTAGTCGTCCTTCAAGGCTCAGAATAAATGTCATCTTTCTAAAATCTTTTTTCCCTTCCTTTCCCATTAATTACTCAATTGCTAAGTTATCAAATCACTTGATATAATTTCACATATATACATTATGCACTAATATTTGTTCTTAAAATTATCTTTTATTTTTTTTCTCCCCTCCAGTGTTTGGAGGCTGAGACACACTTATTTTTAATTTATCTTATTTGTAATAGGACATAGCACAGGGCCTAACACATTTGACTGATGTTCGTTTAATTTGAATAGTGAGAGAGTAAAGATCCAAACTGGGCCTCTAAGCAGGGTTTAAATGGTAGTTTAGGTAGGGAAAGGGGTGTGTGGTATCTGAGGTTGGAAGCTACAAGATAGCCAAGGTTCAGGTAGCCAGAGAAACTCAGGTACTCTTAGCCTCTAAACATCAGTTATGTGTCTCTGGATAATATTGGTCAAAAGATACTGAAGTTCTTAATACATTTTATAAAAATTTTTTTTGTTAATTATTTTGTTAAAAGTTCTTGAATTAATTATTTTGTAAAATATTTTTGGTAAAATGTTATATAAACTAACTTAGTTTCTGGGTAATTTAAAAGTACTAGAAAATAAGCACTGCCAGAGTAAGATCCCATAATATAGTTGTGGGAATCTTGCTATAGTTAAGGGCAGGCACAGCAAAACTCTTTCAGTCCTTGTCGAGCTCCTACGTGAAGGAGGTGCTTTGTGTGAAATAATTGTTGATATTCTTATGTTTTCTGTTACCATATATGACAATGCTTTTAACATCTCAGATTGTGGGCCGGCCCGTGGCTCACTCGGGAGAGTGCGGTGCTGATAACACCAAGGCCCCGGGTTCGGATCCCACATAGGGATGGCCGGTTCGCTCACTGGCTGAGCGTGGTGCTGACGACACCAAGTCAAGGGTTAAGATCCCCTTACCGGTCATCTTTTTAAAAAAAAAAAAAAAAAAAATCTCAGATTGTTCTTTAGTTAATATGACCATTATTTTAATTAGTGGGCAAAGCTTACATTTAAGCAGGATAAAGTTATGTAATTGCACATTGTACCAAGAGGAATGTAGTCTTACTGATCCCTCAAACCTAGCTTTTAAAACTTCTTATAATAGTCTGCATTTGAAGTACATCCTTGAAATTTTTCAGAAAACTGTACTTTGCAGTATATTTTGTGCTTATGTGAATTACTTCACTTGTTGAGAAAACAGAGAGGAAACCCTTAGTTAGGTCGAGAATACTTAAACATTATAGTGGAAAGGACTAATAATAAATTGCTTTTAAATTTTACATAAAGAAATCCTTGTATTTCTGAAAACTGACCTCTGTTGAATTTTATTTCAGATGTTAGTAATGAGCTGAGGGACTTAGATGACAGTAAATTGTGATTAAGAAACTTTTTCAGCCAAAATGCAATTGTTTCAGTTGAGAAACATAGTTCTGAGTGTTACTGGCAAATTGTGGCCTGCGTGTGCAGAGGGCCTTGTGACTGTCATGACATCATGGTATATCTCTAGCTGCTTTGGACTGAGTTGCCTCAGCTCATAGTGAATTTTGCTTCAGGTCATCAAATCCATGTTAACGGTGTACAGTACTGCCAGACTGTAATTAGTTTATTCTTAGTTTTGTTGGTAAGTGTTCACCATTTCCTTTCTTATGAGTTATATGCTACTTTAATTTTGTCTTTCTCTAGTGCTGCTGGGGGTGAAATCTTTGACCAGTGTGTTGCAGACAGAGAAGAAGCCTTTAAAGAAAAAGATGTTCAAAGACTCATGCGACAGATTTTAGAAGGTGTTCACTTTTTACACACTCATAATGTAGTTCATCTTGATTTGAAGGTAAGATCTGAATTATAGAATCGAGATTGCTAAAAATGACACTCCAGATGTAAACTACTTAACAGTGATTTATTCAAACATGTATGAAGTTTGTGTGTTTTATTAGGTAACAAGGATATTAGAATTGAGTCTTGACTCTTACCCTCTAGCCAGTGTGTTTTAGAAAGATAAGTAATATTACATATTACTGGGAAAAAAAAGGAACTCAGAATATTGCTGGGGTAGGTGAAGTCTTCCTGGTGGAAACAGTGCTTGAGCTAGACCTTTTAAAAAAGTTGGGATTTAGATAAGTAGAGAAGAATAGGATGAAATTACCTCTCAAGAGTTAAGGAATACTTGTGATATGTGTGGGAAAAAATAAATGGAATAGTTTCACTGGACTTGAGACATCAGTGAGGAGACATTGTAAGTTGAGAAAAGGCCAGATTCCAGGCGTTTTGAAAATGTCATGAAGCGGTAGATTTTTGAGCAGGAGTATTTGAAAACTGTTTTGGAGAATTAGGCAAGCAGCAGGAAAGAGCCAGTCTCTGTCCTCAGCTCTTTCAGAAGTCCTGAGGCTCACCCTGATTAGACCAGTGTAGATCTAAATAAAATAAATGAGAGAATTGAAAGAGATTGGAGTCAAGTAGATTTCTAATTTAAAATTGTCAAAGAAAGAAGGGGAGGAGGGAAGAAAGAAAAACAAAGGACAATATATCAGTTATGATCTTTTCAAGTGATGAAAACGCCAGCTGAAACGAGGGAAAGCAAAGAAGGAAATGTTATTGGTTGATAAATCCAGGGATAATTCTAGCTTCAGTTACGACAGTAGTCAGGGCTCAAGAACTGTTGCCAGTGCTCAGTTTTTCTCTAGCATTTAGCTCTGCCTTATCTCAAGATGGCAGTGAGATGGTGGTCAATGTAGGTGCTGCCACGTTAGCCTCACAACTCTGCAGAGACTTAGCAGGAAAGAGCCCTTGGTCTCTGTTCAGGCCTCTTTGAGAAGTCCTGAGGCTCACTCTGATTAGACCAGCTTAGATCAACTTGGAACTAATACGTGTGCTAGGGGGTGCAGAGCTTTGACTGGCCAGGCCAGTGTCATTGATATCAGATGTTTCAACCCTGGAAGGCTAAACTCCCCCCCCGAGTCCCAACTTTTACATGGACTGAGAGTGAGAAAGAGACAGATTCTCAAGTCGATTCTGAAAGAATAGAGAATGGGTGCTTAGGAGGCAAATGGTAAATGCCCACTGTGAGTATTCTTAGTATATTCCTTCAGGCATCTGTAGTAGAAAAGTTTAAGATCCTTTTTGATTTCTGATGATTATTTGCATATCAAGTCTAGGCGTGGGTGTAGGAAAATGTAACAATCCTCAAACATTGAACATTCCACAGTGACTCTAGTTCCTAGTGTTTATGTCACTTATAAAGGTAGCCTTATCAGCCAGAGGAATTGGGGTTAGGAAGGAAGGTAGCCTGAGAAAACTGCAGCCTCTGGACCCCAAAAAAGGCTTTCCCATGCTGAACTGCAGCCTCATCTCACTGCGTATCACCTACTGATCTGCATTGGCCTCTGCTGTAGTGTGACTCGAGCAGCAAGTAGATTTTTTATGGCAGTGGATCTCCAACTCTGATGTGCATTGAATCACCTAGAAGGGTTTCTTAAAACAAATTGCTAAGCCCCAACCCTAGAGTTTCTGATTTGGTGTAGGGCCAAGTGATGCGGATACTTTGGGTTCAGGGGCCACTTTGAGAACTACTGCTGTATGGCATGTATACCATAATACCTTATATATACATCATACTGTATAAATAGCAGTGCTTAATTATTATTGTGTGAATGAGCACTCTCAAGGAAGAGTGTACAGTGTGTGTATTCTGGAGCTTGACTACTAAAGCAAACTTGATAATGTCCCATTTGAAATCAGGGGGAAGGGTAATAGAGATTCCTTTAAACACTAGTTTCCTGCTGAAATACACAATGGAAAGAAAAGTTTGGAAACTTTCTTGATCTTTTCTGAAAGGTACCAATTTAAATTCATTTTGTAAACAGTTATCTTTTCTCAAATTTAATTAACTCATTTTTTAGTACTGTGGCTAAAATGGACACTGGTGACACAACAGCCGCATGGTAGTTACAGTGGCATTTTTTTGAAGGCAGATGTGGATGTGTGTGCACCCAGATGTAGTCCAGGATGTTAATTGTTAAGTGGCCTAATGTTAATACTGAAGATTACCTGGTTAAAACCCTTTATAGCATGGGTAGGGGAACAGGGGCTTTGCTTTTTTCCCCTTTAGTCTATCATATGCATAAGATGTTCAGAGGTCCTTGCTGCAAGAAATTTCCACCTATATTTCCCTCGGGGATGGACCAGGAAGAGATGGTTTCCACAGTTTAGACTTCAGTGGTCTCATCCTTTAAGAAGCCTCATTTAGTATTAGCCATGCATGAGAATTTCCAAAAGAAATTTGCTGTAGCATTTTTCATGTTTGGCTTTATACTCTTAACTTTGTGAAATCATATATATATATATATATATATATATATATATATATATTTCATTATGTGTTACTAGTTTTATGACATAAAAAAGACTTTTAGGAACAGAACTCCAATTTAAGTAACATTGCACCTGTAGGAAATGAGCTTTCAGTTTATGACAGCTCAGTTAATGACCATTATTCGAGAACTAATTAACTAGCAAGTCAGACAGGTTGCTAACACCATGTATCATGGATCTTTGATGTTACTTGAAAGCAGTCAAAGGTGAATATTAAGTTCTTGAATACCAGGTTTAAATGTATTTACACAAGGAAATTAGATCCCTTTCTCCCCAATGCATTCAGTATAAATCATAGTTCTTTATCTCCAATGCACTTGGTGTAGAATTCTCTCCAGATTTAATAGAAGCCTTGATGACGATGATGGGCCTTTGATGTTGGAAACTGGACTCTCTGTGTTTCCTAGATCCAGCGGAACTAGAGGACGGGGGGTCTGACGGGTTCGCAGCCTTTCTTTTGCTCTCACCCTCCTCTTAGGTCCAATCAGACGTGTCTCCACGTGAGCTGCTGGAGTGCGGGCAGGACCGATGGCTATGAAAAGGTCATTTCCAATTGACCTCTCGAGAGTCCCCTGTCGTGTACCTTTGACAACCATCTGTGCAGTGAGAGTTGATGCTTATTATGTCCGCTCCCTGTCACTAGAAGAGCCCGAAAGACTAAGCTATAAAAAAAGATTATTTTCCCACACTGCTTCAAAGCTAAACATATTTTTTTATGTTTTCATTCTGTGAAAGTTGATAATCCAAATATATATGGTAACTTGGAGTTAGTAAGCTATTTAGTCTCCACTCTGGTTAAAATGGGAAATTCCTGTCCCAGAGACAGAACTTAGTTAGAAATTAGAATAACTATTGTAGTTGCCCCTGTAATAGAGAGCCCCTGTAATAGAGATAATTGATACTATGGGAAATACACTATTTGGCTTCAGTGAAGACCCCAAATGATCATTTGCCAAAAGATTGGTTCACTGAGGACTCTTAGCCAAATAAATTGACCATGGAAAATTCTTTGCAGACTAGCAGATACAGATTTAGAAATCACAAAAGTGTATGTAAGTCCACAAATATAGAAAAGACACACTGTGATTAAGGAAAAGCCCATTCATTTAACATGTAAAATGTTGCAGTACTGACAGATCTAAGAAACAACTCTAGTAAGTGAGAACAAACCTAACTAAAAGTCCCAAGTAGTCTCAGTAATTTGGCAAATTAGTCATTCTGTATAGTGGCCTGGTTTTTTCTTTAGCCAGAAGAAGGACTGACGGAGAAATCCAGTCTTAAAACCCAATGCTCTTTGCCTTCAAATGGTCTTCTATTGGTTTGGTCTTTCATTAATGTTCGTGTAGGTATCATATCATTAACTTGTCCACGCTGTTATGTGCATGGTTAAAAGTGGACTAGAAGTTGGGACTGTCCCATTTGAGGTTTAAATTGAATCACTGATAGATTAAGCATCAGTATATATTACTTGAAAGCTAGGATAGGATGACATAAAAATACTTCTGAACAGTTTATTAAATTAATTTAGACAGGATTATTAGCTTATTTCTTTACTCTAACCAGGGTTTTAATAAAAATTTAATTCACTAGAACTTTCATTGCCTGATAAAAATGTTCCTTAAAACCATGTCCATGATACTTTAAGCCTTATTGAGCAGGTCAACCTCAACTTTACAATGGTCTTAGCCACTAAATCTTATCCAGTGGTGATTGTTTAGCAAATGTTCAATGGATTGTGTACAGAGATGAAGATACCAAAATAAAGAATAAGATTCTCCGAGGAGCAGGGAAATAAGACTGTAGAAAGACCTTCCTGTAGCCATTGTCTGTCTGAGGACCATCTGCACAATTCCTGTTCTATTCTACTGTCATTACCTCTCTGTTGACTGACATTTCTTCTTTCTCTCCCTTTCTACTGGGGATTCATGCATTTTAAATAGAATTAGGTATTGTATGTCACAACTTTTTTATCATGACCTGAATTCCCTAGAAAAAGGAGGTTTTACTAAATAGTAAATGGTTAGGTACTTATCTTTGTTTTTGACACATATATTTGTGCTTTTTGGAAGTAGGTATGTTTCCCCATCAGAGAACTGACAGAGATTATAGTCCTGTAACTGTACTTAATTTTATTTAGAGGAGTAAAGTCTATTTTTAAAAATAGCTATGGTCAAAATACAGCACAGTTAGTAGAGGCCACATAGTAAACATTAACTGTGAAATTCCATGAAATAGCTCTGATTTTATAAGAAATGTGTTTTTTCTAACAACCTCTCTCTCTCAAATGTTTAACTTCCTTTTCAAAAAGTCTCTCACTTCGGTATATCATAGATGCATGAGACTGGGCCTAGATTTCTAATACAATAACATTTTAATAATTTGATCACACTAATTTAGGATTTATGACATTACCACCAAACCAATTAGCTTTTGCATGATAACTAATGAAAACATTTTGCA